ATGCCCTCACTGAAACCTTTCCATGCCCTGACTTAAACCTTTCCATGCCCTCACTTAAACCTTTCCATGCCCTCACTTAAATCTTTCCAAGCCCTCACTTAAACCTTTCCATGCCTCCAATTAAACATCTCGCTGCCCTCACTAAAACCTTTCCATGCCCTCACTCAAACCTTTCAATGCCCTCACTGAAACCTTTCTGCGCCCTCACTTAAACCTTTCCATGCCCTGACTTAAACCTTTCCATGCCCTCACTCAAACCTTTCCATGCCCTCACTAAAACCTTTCCATGCCCTCACTTAAACCTTTCCAAGCCCTGACTTTAACCCTTCCATGCCCTGACAGTTTTCTCTTCAAGTCTTTATGGGGAAAAGGGAGCAGGGAGGTTCGTGCACTTGTTTGATTATGTGTGTGTTAAAGAGATCGCCAAAACGTTTATCAAGCACTGAGTTGACTCTTCGTTAATTTGTTCTCACTTCCCAGGGACCGGAAATTCCTTTGTGTCAGAAATAAGAGCCGCCCACGCTAACGGATGGGAGTGTGTTTACCTACTTTGCCCCCCCCCCCCCCCCCGGTTTTTTTAACGAAAGAATCAAGTTTTTAAAATAATCTGGTATAGTGGTTATGGTTACTCTCAAATTTAACTTCTCTTGAGATTGAACAGAGTATATTGTCTATGCCCTGTTGGTTTGATAATAATATTATATAGTTAGTTAGCTAGTTAGTTAGCTAGCTAGTTAGTTAGCTAGTAAGCAAGTTGGTAAGTTAGTTAGCTAAATTGCTAGTTAGCTAGTTAGTCTACTGATTATCCTCATTGCATATCGAACCATTCAGTTCATATATATATATTTACACACACACCATATGTGTGTGTGCGTACTGGACACACACACACACACACACGCACGCACGCGCGCGCACACACACACACACATATACATGTACATATTGGGCATGTCAAGTCCCATGGTGGTCTAGAAAGAACTGACGGAGGCTGCAATTTTTCCTAAAAGCGAAGCAGATGCCGATCACCGCAAACGTGGATAAGGGACATTCAAGATGCATTTACTATGAAAGCACATTGGGTTGGAGAACTGGCTGTAGAAAGAGAGACTTACAGACGTGCTGTGAAGAGAGGACACACTGTTTTATATATATATATATATATATATATATATATGTGTGTGTGTGTGTGTGTGTGTGTGTATGTGTGTGTGTGTGTGTGTGCGTGAGCGCGTGTTTATATATATATTTTTACATTGTCTAGCGGCGTCAGGACAGGAAGAAATATTTGGAACAGGCCCTTCTGTTTACTACGTGTAATGTACTTTTCAGAGTCCCTGATATTTTTGCGGTCCATGTTCTGTGTGGCCGACCTCTGGCTCTGTTACCGCTGTAGATTCTCATAGATTCTCATAACACAGCTATAGATGCCGACAGATTCTCATAACACAACTATAGATGCCGACAGTTTCTCATAACACAGCTGTAGATGCCGACAGATTCTCATAACACAACTATAGATGCCGACAGATTCTCATAACACAATTGTAGATGCCGACAGATTCTCATAACACAATTGTAGATGCCGACAGATTCTCATAACACAATTGTAGATGCCGACAGATTCTCATAACACAAATGTAGATGCCGACAGATTCTCATAACACAAATGTAGATGCCGACATATTCTCATAACACAGTTGTAGATGCCGACAGATTCTCACAACACAACTGTAGATGCTGACAGATTCTCACAACACAGCTGTAGATGCTGACAAATTCTCACAACACAGCTGTAGATGCTGACAGATTCTCATAACACAACTGTAGATGCCGACAGATTCTCAGAACACAACTGTAGATGCCGACAGATTCTCATAACACAACTGTAGATGCCGACAGATTCTCATAACACAACTGTAGATGCCGACAGATTCTCATAACACAACTGTAGGTGCCGACAGATTCTCATAACACAACTGTAGATGCCGACAGATTCTCATAACACAATTGTAGATGCCGACAGATTCTCACAACACAACTGTAGATGCCGACAGATTCTCACAACACAACTGTAAATGCCGACAGATTCTCACAACACAACTGTAGATGCCGAAAGATTCTCATAACACAATTGTAGATGCCGACAGATTCTCATAACACAATTGTAGATGTTGACAGATTCTCATAACACAAATGTAGATGCCGACAGATTCTCATTACACAATTGTAGATGCCGACAGATTCTCACAACACAACTGTAGATGCTGACAGATTCTCACAACACAGCTGTAGATGCTGACAGATTCTCATAACCGTTAAAAAAAAAAAAATTGTCTATGTCTGATTTCTCTTATCTGCTTTCATCTGTCTTTATGAAGACAGTCTCATGTCATTTTTTTTCTATTAGTCCACTATATTCTTTGCATACTTCTCAGAAAGAAAAAAAAACTCCGCCGTCAATATATGCACCCCTCCCCCCGACTGTTATCGTTTACACCCCCTTGTAACAAAATATGTACTTATAAGAAAGCTTTTTCTCACTGCAGTTGACAGAGCTTTCAACATGAACGCCTCATAAAGTAACTAAGAAGAAGAGAGAAAAAAAAAAACACACATATATATACATGCAATATACACACTCACATCACCGAATCAATATTTTATTTCGCGATTCGAAACAAACATATCAAATCTAACAACATTAACAGCAGCAACAATAAACAACAGTAACTCGAGAAAACCATACAAATGTAATATTTCCGCTTCATGGGCGGTTGATGGCCTCTCAAGAGAAAGCACGAACTTTGTCGCTCCAGCAATGATTTTAGGAATATCCCGATCGTTGGAGATCCCTTATGCGACTGGCAAGGCAAATAATGATGATGACTAACTCACAGTTCAGTGGCGTGTCTAGGGTGGGGTAGATAGGGGAGACGCTCTAGGTGCCGCTTGAAAAGTGGTGGTTTGGGGGCGGGGGGGGGGGGGGTGGGGACAAAAAAAACAACAACTCAATTTAGTTTAAATGTTAGCGTCTCATTTGTAGGGTCCACAATGTTTTATGTTGTTGAAGAGGATTTGAAGGGTGCCACTCAACACAGCTATAAACATTCGCCCCTGATCAGCAGCACATACATTCACATACACACATGAAAAGATATGTTGCATTCCGTAGTCTGCCCACACAAAGTCACATTTTCTGTAAAATGACACAAAACTTGTATATGTTATGTATATATGTTATTATATATATATGTTATTGTATATATATATATATATATATATATATATATATATATATATATATATATATTATACATATTTATATATATATATATATATATATATATATATATACTATATATATATATATATATATATATATATAATAGGTGTACCCGGCCACGCGTTGCTGTGGCCCAGAATAGTGGAATGAGAGGAAAGAAAATAGCTCTCAGCTAACAGTGTCTGTCAAATCCCCTCCCACTTTTCCCTCGACCCAGTTATATATATCTCCCTCTCCGAAGGATTGAAAAATCATCCATGGCGAAATTATTAAAATAGAAATAGTTAAGAAATGAGAACTGTAAAAAAATATTTTAAGCTCTCTCAGCTAACTGTGTCTGGCATTAACCCCACCCCTCCCCCTTTCCACCAATCATCTCCCTCTCCGTGGGATTGAAAAATCATCCCCTAGCTAAATTTAAAAAAAAAATAGAAATAGTTAAGAAATTATTAAATTAAAATAATACTTTAAGCTCTCTCAGTTAACTGTGTCTGGAATAACCCCTTTCCCCCCAATCATATCTCCCTCTCCGAAGGATTGAAAAATCATCACCTGGCGAAGTCATATCTTCCTCTCCGAAGGATTGAAAAATCATCGATGGCGAAATTATTAAAATAGAAATAGTTAGGAAATGAGAACTTTAAAATAATATATTAAGCTCTCTCTGCTAAATGTGTCTGACATAACAACCCCCCCCCCCCTTCTCCCCCAATCATATTATCCTCTCCGAAGGATGGGAAAGTCACCATGTGACGAAATATTGTAACTAAATTGAGCTTGGCATCCGTTTCCACCCAGACTTAGATAGGTAGCATTAACTTGTATTGAGAAGTAAATGTTGCCAGTGTAACAGCTACCACATCCCCCATCCAGTACCAGTACTAATACAACCACTACTACCACCACCATCACAACAATAACAACAAAAATTGTCACTACAGTCTGTGTAAGTCGGTGTAGAAAAGAGGAGTTAGCGCCGCATGCTGTCGCCATGGACTAATTAGTTTAATTTTGCCCCCGACATAGAAAAAAAAAACATCATCACGTAACGAGTGATGGAACCTACAGTAAAAAGTACACTATACCCACGAATAGAGGAGAAAAATAATCCGCACCCGTCATCTCTCCCTCTCCGAAGGAACGATTTTTAACTGACCTTGGCATCCGTGCCCACCCAAACTAAACTGGACTGTAAGCCGTCTTAGTTAACAGTTTCTGTCATCGCCGAATAGTTTTTGATCGCGAAGCGTCGCGAGGAGGCTAATTGGGACTTAACTGAAATCGGATGTCTTTGGGCGAAAGACGCAGATATCGCAGCCTAGCTGTAAACCACAACACAACGTAGCAACCACCCTTTTAAGAGAAAAATAACAATTATCACCCAACGAGGAATCAAACACCGGTCACCCTCGTGAAGGATGGAATACTTACAACTATACTACCGAAGACTGAGGAGTTTAGGTCAGATACCGCTGCCTAGCTGTAAACCACAACACAACGTGCCAACGGCCCTCTCGAGGGCGAACGAAGATTACCCGTGACATGACCGTTGAGCATCACGTCAAAGGCAACGTTGTGTGAACATTTGAAAGAAATCGGTTCAGTGGTTTCTGAGTCTATAGTTAACAAACTCGAAAAATTACAATTTTTATTAATATAGATAATAGATATATGTTGTGATAGTTGTTCGGCTTATATTTGACATTATATTTATTTATTTGTTTAAAAAAAAATAAAGCGGAGCTGAAGGGCCATTGATATTAACAATACTCTCATAGTTTGCACAGCGTAGATTACCTACCCACTTCAACAGTATACACCCAGTATATTTGTCTATCCTTTGAATTTTTTTTGCAAAGGCATTACACGGGTTTTAAAATTGTGTATTACAAAGTCTTTAAAGGCAGCCCCAAAACTAAGCAATGTCGAATGCACATTATAAACATTTTCTGACGCTCTGCCACTGGTGTCACATCCCCTAGGTATGACCACCCCGCACACAATCTATCATCATCGTTAGTGCCTTGCCAGCTGGCGTAGATGTTGATACATCTCCACAGATCTCGGTCTTTGGTGTTCTGGATCAGTTCCACTGATGATATTTCTCCATGCCACTGTCTTAAGCCATCCACTATCATTTCTCTTGGTCTGCCTCTGCCTCTTCTCCCAGTGATCTTTCCTGTCGTCACGATATTTTCCAATGCTCCCTTTCTCATCACATGACCAAAGAACTTTGTTTGTCTCCTTCTCATTGTTGTATTTAACGTTTCATATGTTAGTTATTCTGGCAGTCCAAGGTATTGGCAACATTTTTCTCAAGAATCACCTCTCACATCTGCCTCACTTCTGCCTCACATTTACCTCACACCTGCCTCACTTCTGCCTCACATCTGCCTCACTTCTGCCTCACATCTGCCTCACAACTGTCTCACATCTGCCCCACTTCTGCTCACTTCTGCCTCCCACCTGCCTCACTTTTGCCTCACATCTGCCTTACATCTGCCTCACACCGCATCATCATTATCTGCCGTCTTTGCTGGGCACTACGTTCTATCTGTCAAATTACCATTAAAATAAATTTGTTCTACGTAAGTCCTTTATCTTGTTTTAAAATATATTTCTTTAACCTCTTCTGCCCATATAAATGATGCTTCAAAGTTAAAAATGTTAAGCTCTGAAAGAGCTGAAATCAGGAAAGTCGACAAAAAGAAAAACATTAGGGAGGGGGAGGAGGAAGCTCAGCCCTAGTGTAATTTCCTCAAATGAGCTTGAGCCTTGTTTAGGTGCGCAAAATAATAATTATTATTATGCACTGAATGGCCAAAAAACATAATAATATCTGCTGTATAACATAAAATGTAAAGACAAATAGTTAAAGACAAACCACGTGCTGCTTATTAAAATCTAGCGAGTTCTTTAAAGCGATCAGGCCAAACGGCAAATACAAACTGAAGTTTGACACCACGTTGCAGAAGCAAACATTGTTATTTTTTAGGGGGGGGGGGGAAGGGGAGGGGGAAGTCTATTTGTGATTTCACTAGGCAACTCTGCGTCCAGTCGTTGGCCATCGCCTACGCTTAGGATTGAACTCTCCATCATGGAATTACGAAGCATGTTTGCAAATCCTAAGCCACAGACGCTGGCGGAAAAGGATGGGGTGGTGGATGCGTCGGTTGAAGCGGAAGAGAAGAAGGAGGGGAGGGGGGATGGTTACATTTGTAAAAATGTGGCTGACTGACTGACTTTCTACACCACCAGGACATTACACAAGCTATAAAAATCCGATGACACAATGTGCCACCATGTGGGTGAGGATCACCGTGGAGAGGTCCCAGAAACCGCGTTCAGCCATTAGGCCATATTTATGGCCAGGCTACATTGCGGCCCCTGGCAAAGCCAGAGTAGAGCTTCACATAACGAAAAATTTATCCTTCGAAGGACGGGAAGTGATAATGACATTGTAAAAATTTCAAATTCAAATTCTCTTTCTTTGACCACTTTCAGCTAGGATTGTAAAAATTTATTTCTGCAGCACATTTATACCACAAGGCGTGCCACACCAGGACAAAATACCGAAGCCTCACTGTCGCAGCTTGGCGAGACCCGCAGTTGCTGGCGCTAGAAAGAGACGCTTTACCAGGGTCGCCCAGCGCACCAAAACAAACTAACCGCGTGAGAGGCAGACAACAGCTGACGAACAAAATGGCTGTTTTACAGAGAAGAACAGCTGGCTTTAACATGGGCGCGTACAAAACTGTAGTTCTTGTAGTCTTGGACAGAGTGCGACAGGAGCCCAGCAACATGGCCGCCGTTAACTATAGCGGACAGAAAAAAGAAGCGCAGAAGCTGGAACCTAGGGGCTTAGGGGTACCCGGATACCCACTCCCGTCCTTAATAATTAATTATAAGACAGTTAAGCTACCCCCATCATATATATACAGAAGCTCTCTTGTGAAGATTGTTTTTATATTTATATTACTTCACACATACACTCACACACACACACACACACACACACATATATATATATATATATATATATATATATGTGTGTGTGTGTGTGTGTGTGTATGTGTGCATGCGCGCGCGAGCGTATTTGTCTATGGGAATGTCCCCAGTGATGTAAATGTCATTTGTCAACTCAACTCAACAGCTGGTAAATGCTGGTTTGTTGGTACAGGATGTCTTGAATCCAGGTTTGATTCCAGCTGCTGACGATTTAGCAGCAGGCCGCCTAGCACTGGTCTCGCAGTGGTAAAGGGAGCTGACCGTTTATTAAGCAGTGGCAAACTACTAAACATAAAACTGCCTAGTGACAAGACAAGCAGCAGAAAAAAATGCTGGGTTAATTTATGTCAAGGTCATACAACTAGCTGGAGAACTCGGTCTCTTAAGTGGTGCGACTCTCATACCAATGACTAGAATCTATATATCTATCTTCTTTTACCCCAGCAGGACATCACACAAGCGATAAACACCCGATGACACAAAGTGCCACCATGTGGATGAGGATCACCCGTGGAGAGGTTCCAGAAACCGCGTTCAGCCATTAGACCATATTTATCGCCGGGCTATACTGCGGTCCCTGGCAAGAAAAGATATAAAACCGAACAAAAAGTATGTTAGCACAAGAGCAAAAGTAGGGCTCCAAATATGGAAAAATTGCATCCCAAAAAGGGATGACAAGATGCTTCAACCAGCTACTAGAATCTGCTAGAACACCTTTTTATAAGTGTCGGAATGGAAGATCGGATTGTGAAATCAGAAGACTGACTGGCTGACCTTTTACCCCACCAGGACATCACAGGGAGCGACAAACACGCGGTGACACAAGGTGCCACCATTTGTATAAGGATCACCCGTGAAGAGGTCTCAGAAACCCCGTTCAATCGTTAGGGTATATGTGCCTCAGGTTGCCGACGCTAGTATATATAATATAATCAAACATGGCATAAACTGAAATTGTAAAAACATACAAACTTCAACTGAAGAAGATGTTACATCGAAACGCTTCTACACCATTTCCTGTTAAATCATTACCACCAGCCAACTTGTCCCTGATTTTCGAAACTTTCACCAAAAGAACGTCTGTCCTAGTTTACCCATCCCCACATGCGTTATTTACAAACCAGGCTCCGACATCAGGAATCGACAAATAGGGTTTATCCAGGTCATTCACCATGGCACAAAGTCGGCACCAGAATTTCGTGTTGATGAAGGATCCTGTGCCTTTCCACTTGAAGTAAACATTATACATATCGTCGTTTACATCCAGTTCTGTAGATGTTAGATTTTTTTTTTTTTAAATAAGGCGCTTTTTTGAAACAGCTTGCGAAAATTATGTAAAAAAAATATTAAATACAGTAAATGATTCTGTTTGACCCCTTTGCCACACCAGGCATTAGAATGCTAGCCTCATAGTTGTACAGACCAAACGGCACTCGGTGGCTGATGTAGTCAATATCACGTCCACCGCCTCTACTTCACATGACGTTACTTGGTATGCATTTTAGCCTGTGTTGACTTGGAAACCGAGGTCAGTTTGGAAGAGGAAAAATATCCTCCCATAGCGATTTCGGGAAGCGTCTAGCTACCACAGCTGTTTTTCCTTTAATTGTTGGCTCTTTATTTATTGTTGTGTGCATTAATACTTACTTTATTAGTCGCTCCTCTTCTTACTTTGGGGTGTAGAGGTTTGCCAGAGAGATCGCCAGACTTCTCTATCAGCAGTTTTTTTTCTTTCTGGCTTTGTTCCATCCGAGTCTTCTGTCATTCAGGGACTGTCGGATGTTGTCTTCCCAGCGGACCCTGGGTCGTCATGGTCGTCTGGTTACCTGGTTCTCGGCTTCCCGTGCCTGCCGTAGTGGCCGATTCTCTCCCATTCTGCACACATGTCCAAACGACTTGTCTAATCAGCCCTAACCTGTTCAGACTTCACCTTACTTTGTAACCGGCCGGGGTCCTAATAACCTTGTAGTTGAACGGGGTTTTTGGCCTGTATACCATTCTCATCCAAAAAGTGCCATTTTGCGTCATCGGGTGTTATTTCTTAATCTGCGGTCCCAGTGGGATTTCGTGGGCTCTGTGGCTAAGTCGATGCGAACGCTTCGTAATGCCGGGTTGCCGGGTTCGATCCCAACTGCGGGCCATGCGCCTTGCGTTAGTTTCAACAGGAGTATCAGGGGGCCGACCGTCCAGGAAGCAAATGGCAAATGACTGGACGTAAATTTGTCTAGAGAAACCACACAACAACCAGGGGCTGCTGGGGTGGGTTCTGCAAAGTCCTGTAAAGGATACGCTACTAACCTTTTTAATGGGATTTCAACTTCACCCAATTTCACACAACAACAACTACAACAGAAAGATGCACACTCCCGAAGCATCCTGAACACAAGCTTACTAGCATCGGCTGTTTTGGTGACCGCTGTTTTGAAGTCTGTTGAGAACTACAAGATGTAGTTATGTAAGCTCTTTCTAATTCCACTCCTTCTATGAGTGGCTATCTTCCTCTTCATATTTTTCATATTTTTCCTCCTCCTCCATTTCTTCTTCTTGTTCGGGTTCTTCTTCTTCTTCCTTCTTCTACTTCTGTATCTTCTTTTTCTTCTTCCCGACCAAAAAAAATATACAAACAACAAACACCCCACCCCCCCCCTTTCCACACAGACATTCATCTTCTTCTTCTTCTGCCTTTTTATCCCCCGATGGAGCATAGGCCCTCAACCAACTCACGCCAAGTCGTTCTATCCTTCGCCATTACATGGAGCTCTCCCCATCTCCTCTCCATCTTTCTAACTTCATTCTCCAGTTCTCTTCTACATGTGTTTTTTGGCCTTCCTTTGTTCCTATGCCCCTGCGGGTTAACACAAAAATTAGTCACAAATAAAACATTCATTCGCCGAACCATTCACTGAACCAATCATGCATCCATCCATACAACATGTATAACGTTTTATGCCAGTCATCCAATGAACTAAGTAACTATCAACTAAACCAAACACCATTGCAGCCACCCAGTCACTTACCCAGCACCCACACAACAAACAATGTACATGCCACACAAACACGCCAAAGCGGTGCCGCATGACAGCAGTGAGTGTGTCAGGACCCACCTTGCAAGTACGAAGCCAGATGTCTCACAGTGGGGAAGTTGTCAACGTGGATGTAGGAGTAAGGCGGGGCTGAGCGAACGTAGTCCGACGATGGGGCGCCGAACACCACAGGTACGACGTTTCTACTGTTAACAACAGAATGTAACACATTAACCTAATAGATTGTTTCATCCTTTGGGGAGAGGCCACTATGAGAAATGCCGGGTAAGAGGCATTTGCAGGATGTAGCCTACCGGATGTGCTAGATTTGGGGCCTCCCCTCATCAACACACTCACTATCACCAACTCTCCGTGTCGGTTCTGGGAGCCCATTTTTTTTTTGGGGGGGGGGGGGTGGGGGAATAGACCCACGACCCACCTGGAAAGGGGGGGGGGTAGATCCACTGTCTTCTAACAAGCATGTCACATGAGTGTTTCGAAGTCAGAGTGTATCTGTTTGAGAGTGACGAACCAACAGTCTGCATACAGGGAAATCTAATCTGGAAAATGGATGTGCCCACTAAACTTTAAGTCTCGAAGAAGTCCAGAAGTGGACGAACAACGACAATTTTTTTTTTTGCAGATTTTTATAGCCGGTAAAAGCCAAGAAAGTTTCTAGCGGCGTCCGATGTCTTCTTGCTTGGTTTTCCCTTCTCTATTCCTGGTTCTATGAAGCAGACAACCTGATACTGTAGCCAGATTATCGGGGATGGAGCCAAGATAACAATTTAGTTAAGGAGCTTTGCAGTTGTATCGGGAATAAGAAGAAGTGTTAAAAGGACTGGAAGAAAAACGACAACAAGGTGGAAGAGAAGGAGGACGGCGACAATGAAGACAAAAAGTGATAAAAGGGAGGATGACACGCGGAGGATATAAAGGTTAAAAGGGGAGTACATGAAGACGACGAAGGCAAGGATAAGGACGAAGTAGACAACGAATGATGGCAATGATGAAAAAATACGACAAAGAAAAGGAGGGAAGGGTGCAAAATACGGTGAAAAGAATGAGGAAGGGAAATGGGGATGAAAGGGAAGGATAAAGAGGCGGAGCAACAGAAGAAGGGCGATGATAGAAGGAAAGAGTAGGTAGAAGCAGCAGAAGGATAATAAGAAGAATGAGGAGGAGGAGATTGTGATAATGGCGATCGTGATGGCTAAGAAGGGGAACGTATACACGTAAGTATACAAGTCTGTAATAATAATAATAAATAATAATAATAATAATAATAATAATAATAATAATAATAATAATAATAATAATAATAATAATAATAATAATAATAATAATAATAATAATAGAATGATTACGGAAGTGGTGACAAAAACAAATCGCTATGACCACGTCGATGTTTGCGCTGAAGATAAAAACAACACTGATGATCATGATGTGCTTAAGTTACTTAATCAAGACAAAACAGCATCTGTATCTTAGATATGAATTTTGAGACAAGACAGTACCATCTTGACCGCGATATGGGAAAACCAATGCGCGCAGCCTTATCTACGCAAGCATTTACATGGTTTAATTTGCAAATAATTGATAAAATAATATACGTACCATTTTCACTGAAAACGGCACGATTTTCAAATTATCTAGAGCGTTTTTAAGTTCAGACTGGACGTTTTTCAAACAAGCTGGACACATAATTTTTTTTTTTTTAAGTTAATTTTGCGGATATGTTAGAACTTGTGAGAAATCACTGTACAAAGTTTACATAATTCTTTCTAGAAAGTTCTTTAACGACATCGATATAAATATGTGCTTTATTTAGTTTCTTAAATTTTTTTTTTTTAACTAAAGGTTACTTCGTTATCGTTTTGTGGTGCCCCAATATAACCGTGCTATATGGCTTTACGGTTGACAGGGTTTTCCGGGATTTGTAGCTGTTTAATTCTCTGTTTATTTTATGGTCCAGTCAATTTCACGAAACAACTTAACAAATAAGCAAATAAACGACACGAAGACGCGTTTCCGAGGCGACGACGGTGCAAATAAACGTTCTTGGCGCCGACTCCCCCTCCCCCCACAATCCAATTGAATAATTAGGCTTGTGTTAATCGCTTAGACAATCATCCTGATTAGCGTAGCACTGCACGTTACGCCTGGCTGTCGTCATAGTTAAGAACGCCTTAATTATAACTTCTCTGGAGGTTAAACTTGCTGTCTGGGAGTCTGCCTTATTGTCCGTCATGCAGATTTAAATTTGGCAATCCCAGGATGGTATGGTAAACCTCTAGGTAGCATCCCTGAGGGGACAAAACCACCAATCGATGGATAGCCTAGAAAATCATTCACGGGGCAGCACAAGTAGCTGGTATCAACGACAACACAGCAAGAAACAACATCACTGCATACAGACGAGAAGGCAGCATTTCCCAGCGAAACTGAAGAGGGGAACAACAAAAAGAAGCTGACTCTCGAAGTCCTGCGGGACTGACCTAGCCGAGTCTACAATTTTTAATGCCCCTAGAAATCACTATAGAAGATCAGTCTGAAAAAGTACGAGTAGGTACGTCCGTACGAGCTTAACCGAGTCAACAACACGACGATGATCGGAAGCTCGTAAAAAACATACTCTCATTTTTTAAGCACACGTACTGCAAGGCAGGGAGAAGTGTATCTTCATTTGATTTGATGTGATTCAAGAACCGACATCACAGCACTCGGGGCATTCCTATAAGCGCTCCGTCCCCATCTTCAGCAGCCAGCGAAGAGTTCCGATACTAATGGTGCCAGTAGCTTTCTGATTAAATGTCCGTCTTGCCTTTCCTCTGAGCCTTGAGCTTCTGCCAGAAACTCTCGTCACCCCCAACTGCATCAATCTCACCAAACTGGTGATCCATCTGCTCCTCCACATTGTACAAGCTCTCCCACAAGGCACTAACCACGTCTGCCCTATCATGTAGCAGTATTCCACCAAGTTGTGCAGAGCCAGCCAGTCTGTCCGCCTGTTCATTTCCCAACACACCGGCGTGACCCGGTGAAAAAATCCAGACAATACTCCTCACTCTCGTCCTCCGCAGCGAAGCATGCCACTCTGCGCGAAGCATACCTGTTCTGATCTTCCTCAGCATGCGTTCTGAATCAGTTACAATTACAATGTGTGTGTGTGTGTGTGTGTGTGTGTGTGTGTGTGTGTGTGTCGTGTTCTCTAGCCAGCGGAAAGCTGCAGTGACCGCCTCCACCTCCATTCTTAAGCTGGATGTTGTGGTATCATATGCTAGGCTCTCCTGCATCAGACGTCGACCATTAACTTTTGCTAAAAAGCCCCAAGCACTTCTTTTGCCTCTTGACACTGAACCGTCTGTGTAAATGATCAAATCCTCTGAGCCAGCATTATCTTGAATTAATTGCTGAATTTCCACCTGTGTAGCACCTGCTGGTCAGTCTCTGCATTCCCGGCTCAGCGTGATTATGACTCTACACAAGTCTGACTGCTCAGGTGGCACTTTGACCCATTCCTCTCCTCACCTAATGTTCTTAAGGATGCCAACCTGTATGATTGTGTCTTCTGCCTGAGCCATCCATGACCTCCCTCTTATCAGCTGCTGACCCTTAGCTGCACCCAGAGCTTCATGCAGAGGGTGGTCTGTGTCTGCAGCTACCCTGAGATATGACTATGCCTGCATCACCTTGTACCTACCTGCAACCGTCAGCAAACCAAGGATGTATCGCATACACACTACTGGGGTGTCTCTGGTGCAACCCAGAATGACCTGCATAGCCGCGTTCTGTATGCGCTCTAGTTTGTCCATCTGACTCTTTGAGACGGTAAGCAATCCCAAGCCATAATCCACCACTGACAGGATCAGGTGCTGATATAGTGTGAAAAGCATTCTCTGCTCTATGTTAAATGCAGCCATCGTCTTAAGTGCACTAAGTCCTTTTTGGCATCTCGTCACAACACTCTCCACATGGTCCTTAAATGACAGGCTCCTGTCAAATGTAATTCCCAGATACTTCAGTTTGGTTTCTCCGTTGACGTCTCTACCATCTATCGTGAGACTTGGGACATTAGTTTTAACGATTCTGTTGTCCATAGAACACCACAAAACAGACGCCTTTTCCGGGTGGACGACAGCCTTCATTTCTGTACACCACTCAGTCACTTTGTCTACTGTCGCTTGTAGCTCCCGTGCTGTTTGCTCCCTCTCTTCCCCCTGCCTATATGCAAGTCAGTATCCTTCCAACTCCTGGTGCTTCTAGGCGTTGAAGAGCACAGGCGAGATGGCTGATCCCTGTGGCAGTCCTGGGGCCAAAGTGCATGGTTCAGAGGTCCATGAGCCCAGTCGGAGAGCAACCCGACGTGAATACAGGACAGCTGCAACATAATTCACCAGCCATGGTTTGACCTCCTTCTCCCTCAGTGCAGTCATTAAGATGTCGTATCTCACTCTGTTATAAGCATCCTCGAGATCCAGTCCTACCGCCATAGTTTCCTGTCTGTTCTGGAACCCTTCATAGACGTCAAAAGCAAAAGTGGCCGCATTTGCCCAAGTGTCCTTTCCTGGCCTGTAACTTCAAAGACCTCTTGGGAGAAGCTTCCCCCTTTCCAAAAATTCTTGTAACTTTACAGCAACTATCTTCTCCAAGACCTTCCCAAATGTGTTTTGTAGTGATGATTCTAAAGCCACTAAGCTTCACTAACCGCTGAATAATGTGTCAAGCGCAGAGCACGTGCCCTTAAGCTCCGGTGACGATTATTATGTATATTTTTAAAATCCATACGAAAAAAAATAGCGTACTGCAGGAAATGACCGGTCGCCCTAGTATTGCCTGCCTGCTAGGGAAGGGGCAATGGATGTCCCGTAGGAGTCCATACGCCTGGTGCCGCCCCGCCCGCCCGCCAGACGTCCAACGTTCTGGACCAGCTCACCCATGGCCATCCAGTTCCTCAGCACGTTGGCCCACCTTGAACTTGGGGGTTTAAATTCAGAGTTTGCCGTCTCCTAGATGGACTGCTGTGCAAAGCTAACGGGTTCCATCTACCCGGACTTCTCCCAAAAGAAGGCAACATTTTGCTAAATCCCATGGACGTTAGGAAACTTTGTGCACTCTTAAACATCTGCTGCACTGTGAAGCACTTGTTGACAAGACTCTTCCTGAAGTTAAATACACAGTTGATTTATTAAAAGGCTCCACTTTTGAATAGACACCACCCCATGAATCACTGATGACGTCGCAAGGATAGCAACAAACTCCAGCTCGCCTGTTGTTTCTATCACAGCCAGTGTAACCAACGAGGTAACAAGTAAAGAAACCTGATATCCTCGAGTATCCAGCGGTGGAAAACATTGCCGTCATGTGTTTGAACTGGTAAGAGGTTTAATTTAAGCGATGAAACCGATTGAATACTCACAGTTTTTGCTTTGAAATAATCATGGTTGCTAGCGCCGCCATTCCGGTAGTCCTGTACCATTTTCTTCGTATCTTCATTTATGAGAGAGGATGTAACTTCCATGTTTGACAGACGAAAGCTTGCACAAGAAGAAGGACGTGCTCAAACGTACTGCTGCCCACTTTGAGAGATCTCACAGCGACACTAATCATTATCATCGTCATCATAAACCACTTCTGCCGTTAAGCGCCGTGGGGAGGAATAATTTGCGATCCAGTGCACGTTGGCTGAAACTAGCTATTGTCATGCCGTGAATTTATAGTGTCTTTAATGTTGTCGATCCATGTTTTCTGCGGCCGTCCTCTTGCTAATGGTGGCTATAAATCTTGTTCATCTGGGTAAATATTCAACATCAAAACATTTAGGACAGGCCCATATTAGCTCCGCTTCTCTCCTCAACAGACAGCGAAGAGTTTCCACACTGATGGTACCCGTTGTCAACTGGTTAACTACTCTTCTTGCCTTCCAGCTGAGTCTCGAGTGGCGCCCAGAGCCCACAGCCACTACCAACCGTGTCATTCTCTCTAGGTAAGGGTTTCAGTACCTTCCATTGTATCCGTTACCTTGGTCCATAACCTTCGATACAGAAGGTATCAAGAAAAGAGCACACCCTACATTTCTCCGGTTACAAACAACCAGCAATAGTTAGCTCAAAAAGCAACTGCAGGGGCGAACAGTTCTGCACATTTTCGTCGCAGGGAAGAAATGAACTGTGCATAGCTGATCATGGACACCGCCAGAATACACAAACCAGATTACATGTGTAGGAACCTAGTCTACCTTAGTCATCTACAGTTCCTGTCACTTGACCTAACTGCTGAACCAGGTAGAAAAATGTGTTATTGAAAGTGAATGCATAAGCATAGCGCTTGCTGAGCAGCTGGACAAAGCGCGGTCATTAAAAGCGAACGTCTGAAGGGCAACTCAGTGCGAAGATCGTTCTGTCTATATTGATGAACTAGATGACAGCAGCAGCTGTGCAGTCTTTCTCATGCTGATTGTAAGGTCGTTGCCCCTTGTTTGATATTGTAATGCTTTTGTTCTACGTATAAACAAAAAAAACGATTTATTGCCCCCCCCCCCCAAATGTTGAAAATAACTATGCCCAGTTTGCTCTGACTATTGCCCAGTTTGATTTGAAAAATTACCTCTTTAATTTGGAGGAGAAAATAAAAACGCCCTTGTAGTTACAGAAATTGTCTTTTGTGGTTTGAAAAAAAAAAGCTTATCTAAATTGTTTGAAAATTGTCCAGTTTGATGTGAAAATTTCTTGTGTGATTTGAAAAAAAAGTCCTTTTGGTTTGAACAGTCTAGATGAAAGTGAAAAAAAGTATATTAGAATGGGGCCCCTATGCTCTTTTGGCTGCCCAGTGTGACCAGGCGTTTAGACAGCACTGTGACAACACTTCAGCGCCCCCGCCCCCCTTCCGCCTTGACGCTGCCCTTGACTACCTACCTCAGTGCATTCTTGAAGAACTTTTCCGTGATGTAATCCACGCAGTTTGCGTTCTCAAACGCCAGATAAAACTTGTAGTCACGACTGATCATTTCCAGACAATCTAGCTTGCACGGCGTCCCGCAGGATCCATAGACGTCTACCCGTATATACTTGGTCAGCTCGTGTATCACCACCATTCGCTTTCCCATACAGTTGGAGATCAGGGCGGCCGCCATTTTGCTTTTACCGTCTGCATAGTTTTTACTGATTGTGGGTCTACTTTCTGGGAATGCATCTATTCCTTCGAAATATCCAGCGTTTGTGTTATTTTCAAATGGCACCCATTTCTCGTACGGGGTGACGATGGTAGAGTCGTGTCTATACGTAGCTGTCCAGTTAAAACCAGACATTCGCTCCGAGGAGACAAAGGACCTGGGACTTTCCAACTGATAGAAGACATAGACATCTTCTTGTCTACGTTTATGTAGCAAGTAGCCACTAATGGATATGGATGTGACAAGGGCGTCTACGTGCTGGTCAGTCTTAGGATCGAGAGTGATGTTACAGTTGTCCACCAAGCAGCGATTATTTTTAAATAGGGTGTTACCGGCCGGTATTTCCTCCCCGCCACCTTTCTCAAACACCAGGATATGAGCAGACGAGAACAACCGGCGGCGTTTAGGAATGTAGTTAAGTTGTTCAACAATTCGATCAGTGTGGCGTAGGTTTGTGTCCCAGATCATGTGCGGTGGCCTGCAATCTGGAGACACCATGACAGAACGATATTGTGCTTCCAAATTCATCGTGGAAACGCTTGTCCCACTATGGCTGGGTCCAGTTGTGGGTTGACTCACCGGGTTCAAGCCTGGCAACAACCAAACCAAGTTGACCGGGGAACTGTCCACGCCATGTTTGGACCCAACCCACAGGGGCAGTACATTCAGCAAAACATTGATAATGAAGAAAGCTAAAACGATACCAATGAGAACAAACCACAGTCTTGGCCGAATATGTCTGCAGTTTGGCAACTTCATGCAGGAGAAAGACCGACGTAGGTGCATCATTCCTTTGAGACGATGTCAGCTAAGAATCTCTGGCTAGGCAAACAATTCTCATCTTCCACCAAGGACCAGCGTACACTTTATTATGTCTATGACGAAACCAGTACAAATCACGGCAAAATTTATGTTTGGCTGAAGACTGGATAAAAGAAACAAAATATAAAACGATGACAAATAAGCGAATTCAAGAAGGAATTGCAAGGTATTTGTACTTTCATCAAAGAATTATTTTGTAGGTCTGAGTAAAGTGTATTTTTGAAAACTGTCTTACGAGTAATCATTGGAACTAACGCATATGGAGAGTGAGAAGCAAAAACGAAATTCATAACCTATTTAAAACACCATTGATCACCAGCATCACGAGGGCTAATAGAATGCAATGGCTGAGGCATACTGATAGAATGTCAGATGTCAGCGAGGTAGAAACTGTGTACACAAAGAATCTGAATGGTCGCAGACCAGGAGGCAGACCAAGAAGACCTCGGAGAGGTCAGACCTGCAAACCCTTGGTGTCACCAGCTGGAAAAAGAATAATCTCAGAGAGGAATGGAGGCAGGTGATATCTGCAGCTAATACACTCAAGGACTCGGAATACTGAAGAAAAAGAAAAAGAAGAATAGTGCATACACAAATATGTATTTTACACACAACCCCCTCTCTATCTATCTATCTATCTATCTATCTATCTATCTATCTATCTATCTATCTATCTATCTATCTATCTATCTATCTATCTATCTATCTATCTATCTATCTATCTATCTATCTATCTATCTATCTATCTATCTATCTATCTATCTATCTATCTATCTATCTATCTATCTATCTATCTATCTATCTATCTATCTATCTATCTATCTATCTATCTATCTATCTATCTATCTATCTATCTATCTATCTATCTATCTATCTATCTATCTATCTATCTATCTATCTATCTATCTATCTATCTATCTATCTATCTATCTATCTATCTATCTATCTATCTATCTATCTATCTATCTATCTATCTATCTATCTATCTATCTATCTATCTATCTATCTATCTATCTATCTATCTATCTATCTATCTATCTATCTATCTATCTATCTATCTATCTATCTATCTATCTATCTATCTATCTATCTATCTATCTATCTATCTATCTATCTATCTATCTATCTATCTATCTATCTATCTATCTATCTATCTATCCGTCCGTCCGTCCGTCCGTCCGTCCGTCCGTCCGTCCGTCCGTCCGTCCGTCCGTCTGTCTGTCCGTCCGTCCGTCTGTCCGTCTGTCTGTCTGTCTGTCCGTCCGTCCGTCCGTCTGTCTGTCCGTCCGTCCGTCCGTCCGTCCGTCTGCCTGTGTACTCGTCCTTACGTATGTCTATCTGCATGCCTCTCTACACTATCTTGTATGTCCATCTGTTGTCTCTGAACGTGTATCTGCGTGACGCCAACTTTCTGTTTGCCTGCTTGTTTGTTTGCTCACCTGTTCCATGTCTCGCTGTTGCCATTTGATCACCAACTCACCATGATTCTTTACACAAAAACCTCTTCTCCCTCTTACAGTTCATGCGGGGTGACGGTAGTAGTTCTGAATATCCACAACCTTCACTCTCGTGCTCTTTTAATTATGCCTGCCACAGATGGTTTTCGATCCCATGATGACAAACTGTCCATAACCTTCTCTCTCGGCCTCCACATTGTCTCTTTCCTTCTCCAACTTGCCCACCGTCACAATGTATTCCAGATTTCTCCTTCTCGTGACATGGCCACAAATGAAGATTGCCTCCTTCTGGTGTGGGGGATGACAACCTTCCTCATTTGCCTATAAATCGACACATACCGAGCCAAGCTATGAATGATTAAATTAACACAAGGGACTGTAGAGCGGCATACGCTATCCTTCGGCAGTCGGTTGGACAAACCTTCAGAATAGTTGTCACGTAGTTGACAGGATTTCAGTGAACCCTGAGAAGAAGTTGCCACATAGTTATGTGAATACTGAGATTAGTTGTCACGTAGTTGACAGGAATGCAGTGAACCCTGAGAATCATTCGGTGTAACCGTTACAGATTCCCATTTATAACTTCTTTAGAGGATGCAGTAGGTGTCATATACACAAGGGAGCGTGTGGTCTTGCCATATACACAAGGGAACGTGTGGTCTTGCCATATACACAAGGGGGCACAGGGTCTTGCCATATACACAAGGGAGCACAGGGTCTTGCCATATACACAAGGGAGCACAGGGTCTTGCCATATACACAAGGGAGCACAGGGTCTTGCCATATATACAAGGGAGCACAGGGTCTTGCCATATATACAAGGGAGAACAGGGTCTTGCCATATACACAAGGGAGCGTGTGGTCTTGCCATATACACAAGGGAGCGTGTGGTCTTGCCATATACACAAGGGGGCACAGGGTCTTACCATATACACAAGGGGGCACAGGGTCTTGCCATATATACAAGGGGGCACAGGGTCTTGCCATATATACAAGGGGGGAACTGGGGTCATGCCATATACACAAGGGAGCGTGTGGTCTTGCCATATACACAAGGGGGCGTGTGGTCTTGCCATATACACAAGGGGGCGTGTGGTCTTGCCATATACACAAGGGAGCGTGTGGTCTTGCCATATACACAAGGGAGCGTGTGGTCTTGCCATATACACAAGGGAGCGTGTGGTCTTGCCATATACACAAGGGAGCGTGTGGTCTTGCCATATACACAAGGGAGCGTGTGGTCTTGCCATATACACAAGGGAGCGTGTGGTCTTGCCATATACACAAGGGGGCACAGGGTCTTGCCATATACACAAGGGGGCACAGGGTCTTGCCATATACACAAGGGGGCATGGAGGTCTTGCCATATATACAAGGGGGGAACTGGGGTCGTGCCATTTACACAAGGGGCACATGGGTCTTGCCATATACACAAGGGGGCACAGGGTCTTGCCATATATACAAGGGGGCACAGGGTCTTGCCATATATACAAGGGGGAACTGGGGTCGTGCCATATACACAAGGGGGCACAGGGTCTTGCCATATATACAAGGGGGGAGCTGGGGTCGTGCCATATATACAAGGGGGGAACTGGGGTCGTGCCATATACACAAGGGGGAACTGGGGTCGTGCCATATACACAAGGGGGCACATGGGTCTTGCCATATATACAAGGGGAGAACTGTGGTCGTGCCATATATACAAGGGGGGAACTGGGGTCTTGCCAAATATACAAGGGGGGAACTGGGGTCGTGCCATATATACAAGGGGGGAACTGGGATCGTGCTATATACACAAGGGGGGAACTGGGGTCGTGCCATATATACAAGGGGGAACTGGGGTCGTGCCATATATACAAGGGGGAAACTGGGGTCGTGCCATATACACAAGGGGGCACAGGGTCTTGCCATATACACAAGGGAGCATGGGGGTCTTGCCATATACACACGGGGGAATTGGGGTCGTGCCATATACACAAGGGGGCATGGGGGTCTTGCCATATACACAAGGGGGAATTGGGGTCGTGCCATATACACAAGGAGGTATGGGAGACATGGGGTATTGCCATTTAAACAGTGAGGCGTGGGATCTTGCCATATACACAAGGAGGCGTGGGGGCCGAACCTGGGCAGCGATAGGGAGTCAGCTTATCGATGTCATCGTCTTTACCCTTCCAGGGAATGGCGATGTATTGGGAAATGAACAGGCTGGCTCTGTACAACTTGGTGGAATACTGATGCATAAAGCAGACGTGGTTAGGGTCTTGTGGAAAAAAACGTGTACAATTCTGAGGGGCAAATAGATTACCACAGTCTGGTGAAAGTGATGCGGTATGAGTGACGAGGGGATCTGGTCGATACTTGACGCTGAGAGGAAAGGCAAGACAGACGTATAATCAGAATGCTGCTGGCACCATAAGTACTGGAACTCTGCGCTGTCTGCAAAAGATAGGGACGAGACGCTTATGGGAATGCCCCGAGTGCTGTGATGTCGGTTCTTGAACAAGCTCAATCAACTCATCGCTGGAACTGTCATATAACCAGTGTCTGAACTGAGAAGTCGACTACAAACCTTATGCGATGTACAAATATTACAGCTGGATAGTGATGATGATGATAACAAATTCTAATAAGGTTTATATCGGAAAAAGTTAATTAATCGACTGATTAACGTGATTACCTGAATCGGCGTATGCAAAAGTCACTACATGCGAGTGTTAAGGATATAGGAAGTACGTTGACTCCTAGTTTTGCCACGTAAACTAACACGGTGGGTATTTTGAGAGTATTCAACGTGCGCATACATCGATGGCGTCACATAATAATAATTAACTATCACATCTGGCGTCAATCGGCGCCTGGAGAAACAGTTTACGGCCCACTGAGCGACGGGTAGCACCAGGACCCCCCCCCCCCACCCCTCCCCCAGGACAAGAAACAAGCGTGTTGGAGATCCATTGCAGCCAACCTTCACTACGAAGGCGGCACCTGATGAAGTGAAATGCATAAAAGTGTTGACTGATTAAAACACCCCACCTCCTTGTGGTGCACGCCGGAAAACTAAAGCCGCGAGGTTTCCGACTAACGAGGCGATGGCTCGCCTGGAAGGAGATGGGCACCAACCAGGTCTGACTGTTTTCACTACCCTGCCACGCGACAGGCATAGCAAGACGGCAGTGGTGTAATCCACCGCTACTACACAGGAGATATTAAATTATAGAATAAATAACAGAAAACAGCTATATGTGAAATAAGCTGTCTCAGTAAAGACACTAGCAATGCAAGAATGGACAGGGTTACGAATACCAGCATTAGAGAGACGGAATAAGACCATGTGTGGATTATATTGACAGACAATGAAGGAAATGGTTCGGTCATCTATTGAGAATGTGGCCAGACAGAACTGCATATGAGACTTTGTACAGCAGAACATCTGGGAGAAAGACCAAGAAAGAGATGGATAAATGGTGTAGGTTAAACCTGCAAAAAAAAAAAAAAAAAAAGAGG